ATGATAAGGATAGAACTGATTGGCTATTTCAGTGTGATGTCACAAAGCATTTTCTCACTCCTTCAGAGTTGTTCTTCTGCTGTAGAAAATTGTTCAGGAAAAAATTGTTTTGATTTGTTTTAAGAAAGAAGTCCCTTGTAATTAGGAGGAAAGTCTTGATTTTTTTTTCATTTTTTAAAAAGCAATTAAAAGAACACAGGAAGGGCAAGTCAATCAATTAAACCTACACAGATCTGATTATGTATTGTTTCCATAGATCTGTCTTTGTTATTGCATTATTCTAAAAGGTGACTTGGGCTCATCCTGGCCATTTCTTTATTAACTACATATGGAGCAATCTGAGATGCATGATCTGTGCGAGTTCCTAGAGCCTTGTTCAGTTGTCCAACAAATTTAAATATCTCCATATTGATCTTGTTCCTTTCTGTGGCATCCTGCAGATCATTCTTTCCCCAGTCATTGCTTTCCATAATGCTTCTTTGGAATGATGTCTTCATGTCACATTTCAATGTTGTCCTCATGCTACCCTTTTTTGGCAGTCCTCAGGTAAAATATACTTGGGATTCACTGCATTTAGGAGCTGATCAAAATGTCTTTTGATCAGCATGAATGGATGTACTCTGCTGATGACTGCAAAGTTATTTTAATTGTTGTAAGCCGCCCAGAGACCTTTGGGTAGAGTGGGCGGCATATAAGCTAAATAAATAAATAAATAAATAAATAAATAAATAAATAAATAAATAAATAAATAAATAAATAAATAAATAAATAAATAAATAAATAAATAAATAAAGCTGGTAGTCTATGGTAGTTTTTTATTTTAGGTAAACTAAACTAGATATAAAGCTGGGTCATGGATCTGGAACCACTTTCAATAAGAATGTTATTAGAACACCTTGAGAATTTTATATAATATGAGAGTAATATTATGATAGTAGTCATATTATATACTAAAATTTGTATATGAATGGTTTGAATGTTTGAAAGATGTTTGGAATTTTGGGGGGAAAACCGGGAAAACACTGAGATGTAAAAAACAAATAATTGTAAGCAAAACATGTAACACGATGTTTGACAAGCACAAAACAATGTAGATAGATTGAAAAACTAATACAATGTTTATAAAAAAAATAAAAAAGCTTGTACATCCCTATCCTTCTGGTGTAATTGGTAATTAGATTCATTTAATCTTCTTTTATCATTCCTTTTTATTCTATATATCTCAGGGTGGATTTGAGAGCTAGTCGAGGGTCATTTCCTGACAAAAGACACAGCCGGAACTGGACTGAGCAAATTGATAGAGGCCAGGGAGGCAATTTCTCTAGAAGTAGAAAGAAGCGAGTGTAGGCACAGTGAGAAAACCTAGAAGCAAAAACAAAACAAAAAGGAAAAGAAAATAAGAAAAGAAAAAGAAAAATAGTTTGCTGTACTTCCTGGCTTGAGCTAAACACTCAGTAGAGAGCACAACATGAATGCCAAGTCATATAACAATTTTCTGAATTTATTTCTTGCTTGGCACATGCAGAAATCTTTCTGGACAAGGACTGTACCACTGTGATGTTATGTATGGGTTGTTTCATTAAAATAAAGACCCATAAAAAGCAAAGACTGTCATTAGCTAGGAATTGGGGATGGGGTGGGGTGGATTTTATTTCAGATGTTTAAAATGAGAGTTCACTAGAGTCCATGAATTTTTTCACATTTGCAAAGGAAATTTGGTTTTGGTGATGGTTATTTAAAAAAATAGATTTGACCTATTCACCCATCTAACCTGAGGCCTTCAAATAATTAGTTCTTATAAAAACTAAGTTTGAATCAGCCGTGTTTGTGGTGCAAAATTATAGTTGACTCACCTTTTCCTTGATGATCTTGTTGTATTTAACAGCTGCTGCACATGCAGCTACAGCACTGGTCTTCGTGTTCCTTCATGTTCCTATCTGTGCCTGTTGAATCTGTGGGGTCTCCTCTTAAAAGGGCAACTCCAATAATCATTTTGTCTACTCCCCTCCCCTTTCTTTCCTTCTTGACTCACCCACAACATGAGCAATGGGCATAAGAAAAATACACAGCTATGTTTTCATCGCTGTTCTTTCAAAGAAAGATATTTAAATTCATTTTTAAAAGTTGATTTCATGCTTTGAGGGGTTTTTGCTCTGCAGCTTCAAAGCCCTCCAGAGAGCATTGCTCATACTGTTGTCTCCATCTGAGATAGGTTCCATGCCAAAGAGATTGCTGTTACATACAGCACTGATGTTACCTGTCTGTCATGGGTTTGGAGGGAAAGTTCCATCCTATGGGGAGTGGAAGGCGGGACATCAGGAGGAGGGGCTGTACGGTATATATATGTGAAGCGTGTGAGGAGAGCTGGAAGAGCTGAGCAGCTGGGAAGAAGAAGCTGGTGTGGGAGTCTGTGTGTCAGACAGGGTACTACTGTGGGTCAGTCAGTACCAACCTGATAGGTTCAGGTGTCTGTATGGTTAGCCAGAACTGATAGGTTCAGGGTCTGTGCTTCAAGTTAAGTGTTCTGTGTGAACCAAACTGTGTGCATGTATGAATGAGACTAAGCCACGTTACTATATCTTATTCACCTGATCATTTTATTTTCCTGTGTGTTGTTTTAAATAAACCTTATTCTTTTATTTGTTGAAAATCCATCCCTGGTCTGTGTGACTTCTTATAGGGAATGGTTGGTGGCAGCTTAGTTAACGTGTGGCATATCCCAGTAGGTCTGGGTTTGTCACAATTGCTTTATTCATTGTTTTCTCTAATTGCAGAGATGAACCACTGAGGACAAAACTGGCATGCCCAAAATATCAGACCTTTATTTCCTGTCATGCTATTTCCTGAAGTTTTGTCTGCTCTGTCTCCTTCCCATACGTACATCAGTGGCTATTTAATGTGTCCCTTCTATGGCATCTGCACCATGTACATTAAGGAACTAGTGCAGCCAACACTCTAAAAGCTACAGAGACTTAAATCTTATTGCTGTGAAGTTCAGTTGCAACAAACATGCGAAAGCAGAAGCCTGGTGTTGTGTCACTGCACTTGTTGAGAGTAGAGAATAGCCAGGTTTCTTGTCCATTTATTTGCATTTTTAGTACCTTCTCCTTCAGTTCCGCTTTTCTCCACTTCCTCTTAGTTCAGAGGGTCATGTGGGTAAACGTTTTTTTTAAAAGGCATGGGTTATAGTTCAACCAGCTTAATAGCTTCAGTTTATTTGCGTATCACTTGGAACAAGTGGAATGATTACTCTGTGAATCTTTCAGTGCAGTTTACTCTAAATCAGGGGTCCCCAACCTCCAGTCTGTGGACTGGTGCCGTTCTGTGGCCATGGCAGAACCAGGCCGCAGAGACAGATCTCCCGCTCCAAGGCACTCGGCCCACCTGCATGCACAGGTGCCCCTCCCCTCCGCGAGCACGCCCTGCCCTCTGTGCATGCATGCAAGCGCGCCCTGCCCATGAGCGTGGGGGTGCCTGGTCCCCTCAGTCAGTGATTCAGAAAAGGTTGGGGGCCACTGCTCTAAATGACAAATACTTTCCTATGATCTTTTTATGATATGGTGTCTGTAAGAACTTGCTCATGCATTATTTATGGGTACATTGATTATGTCAATGCTTAGCTCTCTGCATGTTTCTTTTTTCTCCAATGGATGCCATAGAAGCTATGGAAATCCTCAACTTTTGACGCAGTGAGGAACTGGACATAAGTGAACAAACTCAGGTGCAATTGGAAGTTTTCTTGGTCAAGAAACAAATGAATCCAAGATAAAGTGGACAGCCTGTTCTCAATAGATTGAACTTCCTCTTAATAACTAGATTTGCCAACAGGGCATGTCCTGGAGTGTAAGGTGGCTGCTGTAGCCATAAGTATCTTTTCCTGATTCGTCTGATGTGTCAGCTGCATGACCTCTTGGAGAAGGTGGTGATGACTCCACGATTCACACCTTCATTGTCATTTGGATTACTGTGACCTGAAGTAACTTCAAAAGTGTTTTGAAACCATAAAAGGTAGTGCAAAATGAAACAACCTTACTGTTGTTTGGAATGTTTTTCATAGACTTTAAAAATTATGACTGTTAAAAATTCTACCCAGCTTCAGTCAAGGAAGGAAGAAAATATTTAATTCATAGTTTGGTAGTATCTTACCAGATTGGTACATCACACTCTGCACAGAAACCTGAAACTGTATTTTTTCCAAATTTGTGACACAGTTTGCCAAAAATGTATAAAAATATATACATCTGAAATAGTTTTCACAATACTTTATACATTTGAAATTGGATGTTTGAAAACGCATATTTTTGAAAATGTGGACAAAACCTGCTTTGTTTAAGAGAAAAATCACTTGAAAATGTGCACATTTGCTGAAGTACACATCAGAAGTGTATGCATTTACAAAATGGATCTGAAAATATGTGTGTTTTGATTAATGGTCATGAAAACATTCAAAGTTTAATGTGCAGGATAAGGAAAAAGCATGCCCGACTGTAGAAACAGGATGAAATAAATTTGAAGTAATGTCTGCTGTGTAAAATTGAACTTTAAGGATTAGTCCATCTCTCGTTTGTGTGCTGCTTGTACTGTTTGAACAACCAGCGCACTGATCCTAGCATTTCCTTGCCTCCATTGCTCCTTTTTACTTTGTGTTTGCATTACTTTATATTGTTCATTATTCTGTAACTTACATAATGCTTCTAGTAGAACACAGGAATTTTCACCAGGAAGATTGTACTGTATACCTAATACACCAGCATACCAGACAGAAAAACAGAACCTTCCTGGTAAAACAAGAAGGTCATTCCAGTGACACTCCATTAATGGTGTTTCAGGGTCTTCACAAAGCTCATGAGAACATAGGTGTAGTGGGCACCCCAGTCAGCACCTGCCTGTCACAATGGAACCTTGGCAGGAGAGCCAATAAGGAGGATGGAAGGCGGGAGCAGGAGAGAAGGGGGGTTACAAAAGGAGGAGCCTGGAGGAGAGAGAGAGTGCTGTGTGATTTAAGTTTTGGTGGAGTGTGAGATAGATAGGAGTGAGACAGTGAGAGTAGAGTGAGAGGACAAACATAAGGATTGGGATTAGAGGTTCAAAGGGTATTGATTGAGTTAGATTGAAATCAGAGATTGGGAAATATAGTGAAGGAAGACAGATGCAGCTTGTGTCTTTGTGAGGACCCAGAACATAATAAAGGTCTCAGAGACGGAGTTGCGTCACAGTAGGCAGTTGGATGATGCTGGGAATGAAGATGCAGACACAAACACACACACACACAAGTATACTGTCACCTAGTTGATTCCTAGGTCAATGGAGTACTTGTGACTTCATCAGTGACAACAGAGAGGTCTCAAAAAGGCCAAGAGCTCCCTGAAGGGGAGCAGTTAATAATGTACCATCTTCAGAAATTCTAGGGGTAGAAACTGGCCTGAACATGTCTCACTATGGGGGCTGAATCATTTTTATGATACAAAGCAGGAAAAATCAGATTGTCAACATAGCACTGGCTTCATTCATCTCTCATGGAGAGCCATTTGATATCACGTAGGTATTTGATCCTTTCCTCTCTTTGTTCTATGATCTAATCATGTTCTGACTTTCTTTTCCTGTGGTGTGAGTTTACTGTGAGGAAATGGAGAGAAATAAGGGATTTTAAATTTACTATGTGAAAGGGGAGTGGTTGCCCTGGTCCCACCAGCCTCCACTTGCCCCAGGAACAACCCCAGCTATAGACAGTAGTCCTGGAAAAATTAGCCTACCTGTGGGGCCTGGGAATAATTCTGCACCCAAATGTATCTGAACAATACATATGCATTTATCCAAGGCATTCTAACCCATTCTTTGGTGGTTCCCTGAACACCTTACAAAGCGATAATTGAACAAAGTCTCTGCCCTCAGGCTTGCAATCTGGAAGGCAGAATGTAAGAGGAGGAAGTTGATATGGGCTGGACTGGGAAGGAAGCAAATCTGATAATGATGTCTTAAAGTTACATAGCTTTTAAAATAACCAGCTGGGATGGAAATAGTTCTGGAAGAGGCGAGACTGTTACCAGAGCCAATTGTGTGGTCCCTCACTCCTGCACTGCAGCCTCCTGAGATTGCTGCTTAGGCAATCTCACCAGGTCACCATGAGGTCCTGTCCTTGGCTTCCAAAATATATGGTAGGCCAGTGCACTGTAGTGGTTAAACTGTGTCAGGCCAGAGCTGAGGAAACCACGATTCGAATATCCAGCCACCCATGAAGCTTATTGGGTTATTTTAAACCACTCATTTATTTTCAGCCAAACCTATCTCACACAAGACAAAAATGAAGGGGACCATGTATATCACCATGGAAGAAAAGCAGGATGTAGGTGTAAAAGAGAAAAAAATTGAAAGCCGGGCACACCAGTGAATGGAAAACAGTTCTGAGACTGCTCCTTTCCCTCAGAACCAATCATGGTCAACCCCAGAAAGGCATGTGTAGTACAAGAAAGTTGTGCAGTGAAAATGTGGAATGACCAAAAATGTCCCTATCTGGGAAAACTGCAGTGTGTAAGAAAGTAATCCTTAGATTCCCAGACATTTGTTTGCTAATATCCAAATACCACAACTCTTTGAGCACAGAAAAGCTGTAGGCTGCTCCTTGATGTTGTCAAATCACATTCTCTACATGCAGCAATGTTGCTTTCAGTGTTTTATTCATTTGCAGAAACACTCCAGTTAATTACTATACTGTAGTTGATATACTGCAAGTGCATTATATTTCCCAAGAGAAAGAGAACAGAATCTTTTGTAGACATGATGTTTGCCAATCAGTATCTATAGAATTGTTGTTATCAGCCATCAGATCTGTTTCTGCTTATGGTGACCCTAGTAGGATTTTGAGGTATACAAGATGTTTAAGAAATTGTTTACTATTGCCACCCCCCAGTGAGCTTCCATGGCTGAGTGGAGATGCAAACCCAGGTTCAATGTATAAACAGTCTGACATTCTCACAACTACTCTACACAAGCACCCATCTATAACAAAGTGGGTGGTTTAAAGAATATTTTAAAAACAACATTGGACTTCTGTGTGGTAACATTCCATATGTACAATATTTTGCCCCCAAAAGATAAAATTATGTTCTTCTGTACTGGTGTTCTTCTTTACTGCTAACTTCCTTCTTTCAACAAGCTTTTAATTCTGGATTAAATTATCATTTGCAATTAGCTTAAATTTGTTCCAGAGATATCATTCAGATAGGCTTTTATGGCTGAACAGTAATATTTGAGATTGAAATATGTGCTTACCACCTAATAACCAGACACAAAACAAGGGAAGCTAATTGGTAAATTATAGGAAGCGTGGAGAGCTACTTCTGTGATAATCAGCTATTTCAGGCAGTTAAGGAATTCCCTTTTCTAATGATGAGCTACCTGCAATTCATCATTTGACACTCCGTCACTCTGATAGAGCAGTCCAAATTTTTTCTGGTTGGGGGCAGAGTATTAGTTCCACTGCTACATTTTCTGCCACCCTCCTCCACAAAGGAAAGTATGTTGGGGAGGATGGCTCTATTTATTTATTGACTTATTTATTCCTATTGATAGTCCCGGATCAGGTCCATCATTGAAACACCGCAGAAAAATATATATGATGCTGAATATTAATTTGATGGTATGTGAGCTTGGATGCTCACACCTGCTGTGCCTATTACACATGTAGCAGGAAATTGGTTGCTTCCACAAGACTGGGGCTGGATCTCTACCTTGAATAGGAGGAAGGAAATAAAAGTGTTAAAGGGAACAAAGTTAGCCAGATAATTTCACATACAACCAGGCCATAATGCTGATGTGACATCTCAATTAATCCACTGTTCCTTGTTATTTACTTGTTTCTGAAATGCTTGTTAAATGTCTTTGTGTCATTTGCCAAATATAGCTCATATTGTTCTTTTTTCCTTTTGTATGCCGACTTTTCATTGGTGTTGTATTTTCTACTCCACTTTACTTCTCTTTCTGTTTATTGTAAGCTTCCTGTGGAGATTTAGATCATATCAAGCTCTCAATTGAATGACTGTAGGTCTCCTCTTAGGTTTACCATGGTTTGCTCAGAGCTTGGAAGAGGTACTTTTTTGAACCTTAAACTCCCAGAGTCCCCCAATCAGCATGATAGTCTAATATGTGCCCAAGCTGCTGTGATGAGGTAGACTAGCCACCTTCTGTCAGATTTGAGATGTAAACTTACCCGGTTTTCAGGATTTCTAGTGAATTTAGTCCCTCAGATTCAAGTATGACCAAGGTGTGAATAGGCAACATGACTCCTGTCAGCCTACTTTTAAGGAGAACTGGGCCTTTGCACATAGATATGTAAAATTAGGTGCCTTGCCTTCCTAGTTTCTCCGATGCAAAAGTGAAAATAAGGACAAATGGTTTATGAGAGTTAGGCCTACTGCTGAATATGCCTAAGCAGAAACATTTGAGTTCTCATTTCAATTATATTTGTGTTAGGAAACAGAAGCTCAAGGCAAGAATCTTATTGCTTTTTACCATGGATGGAAGATAAATTGTGGAGACCACTCTCACAAATTGACGAAGTCATGTGCTTGGTCACTCCTCTGCTTGTTTGCCTAGCATACAGCCAATATCTTGTCAATTAGTCATGACTGCTATTTTGCTTCTGTGTGGCATAAAAAGCAAAAGGATTCTGGCCTAAGGCTTCATCTTGTACCCAGCTGTGAGGAGAAGCTTCCCAGGGTAATTGTGAGCTAACACTTCATTACATTGTATTCTGCTTTTTACAAAAAATACATTACAAATATTCAGAATGGGATTGTGGTCAAAAAAACAAACCATGACCAGTTTCTGTTCTGTTCTTAAGGAGATTCCTTCGAGGAATCTACTTTCATTTTCAGTTATGTTACTGATTTATTTGCGGTTCAGTGTGTGAAGGCCTGGTGCTGCCATCCTTGCTAACTAAGGTCTTAATCCCTCTCTCCCCTGTTGTCTTACAGAGTTCCTGCTGGGGACTATGCGGAAGGATGGCAGCTGCAGAACCTTTGACTGCTTTCTCCCGCTGGTACCTTTATGCTATTCATGGCTACTTTTGCGAGGTGATGTTCACAGCTGCTTGGGAATTTGTGGTGAATTTCAACTGGAAGTTCCCAGGTGTCACCAGTGTATGGGCACTCTTCATCTATGGAACATCCATCCTTATAGTGGAAAAGATGTACCTCTACCTAAAGGACAAGTGTAACATCGTAGTTCGGTGCCTCATTTACACCCTGTGGACGTATGTTTGGGAATTCACCACTGGCTTCATCCTGCGACAGTTCAATGCCTGCCCTTGGGACTATTCACAGTTTGACTTGAACTTCATGGGCCTCATAACCCTGGAATATGCTATTCCATGGTTCTGTGCAGCAGTCATCATGGAACAACTAGTCATCAAGAATACCCTGCGTTTGCGTTTTGATGAGAATGCTGAGCCAGGGGGTCCCACTACTGCTGTAACCTTGGCCAATGGCCATGTGAAAACTAACTGAAGGGTGACCTAGAACTTACGCTTTGGCTCAGAGAACTTTCCTGCTGCCCTTGTTGAAGACTTGTGATGACAGCCTGAAAATCAAAACTCCCCCTTGTCATATGATAAATAAAACTTCCTGGGTTTGGAGGTGTGCATGAAGAAGTGGATCAGTAGGTTTTCTATGGATTTTATTCATTTTTCCTTTTGTTTTTTAAACCACAAGTAGCATGGTCAGCTACCTGTTGGCTAGATAGTTTGACTTATAACTCACTAAGAAAACAGTCCTATTACCTGCGTTTTACAGCAGAGGGGTAGGGGTGAGGGAATAAGAGACATGTTAGTCAACTGTGTACAAATAACAAGTTAGTAGATTGGCAGAGATGCCCAAATTAACTTAGTAATTGGCTTATATTTCATTAGGCAATATTCAGGTGCTTGCTTGCAACCAATACCTCCCATGGGACCTGAGATGCTGCAGGGCCAAGGAAAAACCAACAGCTGCTGAAGTAGCCCACCAGTGGCAGCCTACTGGAGAGGTAGAAACTGTCCTCCTATGTGCTCCTCCTAAGTTTTTTTAAAATTGCACCACAGTACATGATATTGTGGTACAGGACATCTTGCTGGATTTATATAAAAATATTCCTTTTTTTCATCAGCCACTCTGGTTTTCATATATATATACACACACACATACATATATATTTTAAAATAAAGGCTTGTTCTACTGGAAAAATTATAGGGTTCTTGTACAAGCTGCATTTTGGTCAAATAGCCAAAAGTCAGAGAGGAATGGTTGAAGTCTTCCCTGCTTCCTGTCCTTACTGCTTGTAGTGGAATTTAACAGAAGGGCTTTTTCTGATCTGTTCCTGTGAGTCTGATAGTCAGTGCTCACATCACCAAGTTTCTCAATGGCTTCCTCTCCAGGGATCACTTGTCACCAGCAATATCTATGGCTGTAGATGTGGGTCTGTTGGCCAGCCCTGGAGTCATCTGGATTTTATAGCCCACAAAACAGATCACGTGTGCACATTTCTGTTTATGCTGGCCTTCTCTAAGCCCCATCTCTTATTCTCAATGTACTAACGTAAGTGTTAGTGGTACAGCAGTTCCCCCTCCCCATGCCTTTTCATCAAGCTGTTGATGAGTGGTGATATCACATCAGTTACGTAGAGCATGGAAGTGTTCCTTCTGTCCAGGTGGGTTGTGAATGTTGTAGTAAGAGCTGCAGGCATTAGAATCTGAGGCAACTGTGAATTTCTCAAGGAGACGTGTGACTTTCAGAGGCACTGTGAGTAGTAGTCATCGTGAAGAAGATGTAAGGCACCTGTCAATCTGCCAAAGGATTAATGTTGTTGTTCCAAGAATAAAGAAACATCTTTCTCTTCCTCCCCCAACCCCACCGTTGGCTGCTGAAAATAACGAGCGTCCAAGAGCCTTAAGAGGAGGGCTTGCTGTCATCAGGGCCAAAATAATTTCAGGTATCATTTGCACTGAATGGAACAGAACTGAAAGAGCAACGTTGAGCTTGTGATGTGTGTTTCTACATGCGTCCATAAAGTGTCTTCTTTAAGACAAGGCTGTGTTTTTGGGTGATCTCTCTACCCCTGGCACTCAGGCCAGAGACACACAGATCTCTGCTGTCCTATGGAATTCCATTCTAAGTGAAGACAAAAGCAAGGATACACTGTCATACTGAACGGGGTTCTATAATTGTATTGTGCATAAGTGTAGCATTAATTTGGCTTGTGCTTTTTCAAGTGTGATTAATTTATTTCCCCCCATTTCCTCCTCAGTTGGGATATCCATTGCTGGCAATGGATAAGCAGGAGCACTGGCAACAGATGTTAAGTCATGTCTATCCTTTGGTAGACAGTGTCTTCTGAAATAGTTGTCAAGCATGCATAGACATTAGAGGTCCCTTTTATGGTTTTTTAAAAATATTTGCTACTGAAGATGTCTCCTCTGTGGTATAGTGCTGTACTCAGCAGAATTATTTCTTCTCAGCTCTGCAACAGCGGTCAAGATAGAATAGGAAAAAAAATTGAGTGACAATTAATTGGTTAAACACTCATGGTTTGCTAAAATCCTCTTATAGTGCAATTCTGTACATTTGTACTCAGCTGCAGGACCGTTTCATAGTCATTCTACTGCATTGAGCAGGAAGTTGAACCAGATGACCTCAGAAGTCCCTTTCAGTGCTAAAGTTCTAAATGGGCATAGGACTGCAACCTTATTCAATCATGGGGCTTAGTGAATACTGTGAAAATAAGCATACTTTTTGCATCCTACTCCTCTGAGCTGCTGTCTGGAACAAATTTGAAAGATAGTTGTTGCTTCTCATGAAGAACTTTCTGGAAAACATTTTTCATCCAAGTATTATGTGATGGTGGGAACAAAACAAATAGAAATGGGCTACACTTTCACTAAGCCTAGTTTCTGAAGCACCACATAAGGCTGAATAAGTATAGTTTCCCCACTTTCAATGGTGGAGTCATATTCTACATGACTCTGCAAGCTGGGATATTTAAAAATGCCAGAATATTTAGTCTTCAGGGTGATATATTTGTGACAGTGATATCTACCTTCTACACTGGCTTGCTGCACAGTTCCTTGAGCATCTGTGATCTCATCCTGAATTGCATACTTGCTTGACAGTTGATCAGTAATTGTTGCTTACACGAAGGTGGTGAATTTGTGTCCCTCCAGATATTGTTAGACTGCAACACCCATCATTCCTTGCTATTCCCAATGCTGACTAAGGTTGATGGACAATGCTATTACATAACATATGGAGGAGATATGTTTTATTTTGTGTATGCTGCCCACTCTGAGCGTATGCTGAATAATGTAGTCCTTAACTGCTCCTACAAATGAGCTACATTTTCCAATGATGCACCAGGACTTCATTTCCAAAAGCTTATTGTATGCCAGTTTACATATGTGTCCTCAAGGGGTTGTTACTTTCATATATACACAAGTGCACTTTATTCACAGTTGGTACATCGGGAACTGAACTGGGCCTGATAAATTTACAAATTCCCATGTAGTGTCCACAAGATAACTCACTGATCATATGAGCTGTCTTTAACATTGTTCTTCATTCTCTCCAATGTATTGTGCATGTCAGGCTCTGCAGATCTTATTACTCTTCTGGGAGAAAATTATGTTGGCTGCAGCCAGAGATTTCCTGTGTTACTGTTCTACTTCTCTCAGTTTCAAGTGGGAGGAAAATGGCTGGTGTTGTTTTACAGCTGAGTTCTTAGACTACATGGTGATGACAGCCACTTTGTTGACAACTGTAGCCCATTAGCTGTGCACTGGAGGAAACACTTGCATATAAAATACACAACAATAAAACGCACACTATCTTGAGTTAAATATTTGTGTGTATGTGTATCCTCCTCATTAGATTAAAGTTGCCTGTTTGAATTCACCAGCAATAAAAAGTTGTGATTTGTTGGCTTTTCCCTGCCACATGTGAAGAGATGATATATATTTAATCTGTTGGAAACGAAGGATTATAAGCTGTTTTTGCCCTGTATCACACTTGTGTTCCGAAGTAGGTTTCCTCACAGAAATATGTGGAACCCAACACAGAGATGGTGTCTCTAGGCAAATGGTACTGTTCACCTTCTCCATGTTGTCTGACACTCATGTTCCATTGGCTGTCTGGATGGACACGAGCACTGCAGCATGCGTGATTCATTGACAAGGCATGAATCATGCAAGGATCTTGCTGAATGCTGTGCTTCTATCCAGGAAGCAAATATTGGTACAGTTTCAGTATGGTTATCTTTTGTCTAAAATGCCCTGCCCTTGTCTCAAACTCATTTGGGACTAATGGTAACACAGGAAATACATCTGTGAGATCCCAGAGGACATCTATGTTATGTGTACAACTTCCAGAATAAATTTCCAGAATACAGTGCTTTACAGCACTAGTTCTCAGTTGGTGAAATTGTGAAATGATTTTTTTTTAAGTCAGCTTTTCCAGTGATAACTACCAGACCTTAGAATTTCTTTTAAAAACTTTTTAAAATTTTGAATAATTTTATTACACATTTGTGTGTATATTCTTAATTTACATTATGAATTGAATTTGATGTTAAAAGCGACTGGATGAGTTGCTGAGAAATGAGAAGCATTAAGGCTTCTCAAAAAAAAAATTTTTTTTAAAGGATGTGATACTTTACAAAGAGGTACTTTTTAAGATACTTGTGCCAGTATAGGAGGGCATACCTTGATCTTCCCAAAAGGCTTTTCCCTGCCTTCTGCATGGCGCTGTCCTCTGTATACAGAGTCCTCATATTCCAGAGAGAGGGATATGAAGCTCTATCTTCAATAGAAAATATCCAGAACACAGAAGTATTCAAGTGAGATGTAACAACATATTCTTTTTCTTTCTGGTATGTCCAAATTTCTGAACCTAGCCAGTTAAGAAAATGTGGTATCAGAATTCAAGCATATCCTTTTAAAATGCCTTCAGTGAGCTGTAGGCACTAAGAGTTATCACCCCCACTCACTTGTATGGGCAGTGCTAGGGAACCTGTGTTCTTCTGGATGTTGTTGGTCTATTGCTCCTATCAGCTTCAGCCAGCCTGACTAACTATCAAAAATAATGGAAGATATAGACCAACCTTGCCTAAACAAAAGAGGCACAGTTTCCCCAATTTTGCATTAAAAATACAGTACTCTATGCATAAAGCCTTTCCACATGAACATTACTGTGAACATGAACATTATTTGGGAGCTTTTTCCTGACATCAATTAAAGCATCAGAACCATTGATAGCTGAAAATTTGCCATGGAGAACATTATTAGACTGGAAATTCAAAGTTATGGGTCTAGTTTACAGTGGAGTACAGTATATTGGTTGGATATTAGAAAGGAAAAGAGATTGGGGAAATAATGCCTCTTAACTGTGTTTTAAATAAATGATGTTGTACAAATGTGCAGTCTGGACTAGATGACCCATGCAATACTTTTCAATCCTATACTGATATTCGAAATGTATGAAGTATATGCAGATATCATTATTGAAATTGGTGTTGCAAGGTTATATTTCTTTATTGAGTTCTACCATACTGTACCCTATGATTTTAATGGGTCAAAATAAAAACCACATTAATAACACTTTAAGAAGCTGCTCCAGAGTCCACACAAATAATCCTTATGTGACTTCTCAATTAATACATTATTTATCTAAAACAAGTAGTAAAAAGAACACTAATACTTCATGATCTGCCAGCACATTGGTATGCTTATTTGTCATGCCCAAGCCTTATTAAGATTCCAGGAAACAGAGTTTTGGAATATGAAGATGCTGTACTTATGAGAGTGTTCTTGGCAAGCAGGGCTGGGCCAAAACATGTTGATCTGATAGGAAGATACTGCACAGAAGCTGACTGGAATAGCAGTACTCTTGGAATCCAGTGCTGATGGTTCCTATAACTTACCTGAAGTATCAGGCTTCTTTATGGTACCCCAGGCATGTTATGTGGCAGAACAGCCAGCTATAGAGTCTAGAGGCACCATCTACCATTTGAAGCAACTGCATGAGTCTGCTTAATAGTATGGCTATCCCAATATTAAATGTCATGATGCTGCATAGCTGGCCCAGGGTCCTCAAAATTAGCCTGATGCTTATGAAGAAGGAGCCCCAGCCATTTATAATTTAACCTCTGAAACCCATCTTAAACTTAATAGTACCATTCTCCCTGCTCAGCCCATGCTGATGTTGACCAACCATACCAAAGGTGAGTAGTGTCTAAGAGTTACGGTGTAAGTCCACAGTCATACTGCTTTTGACTTACAGGATCTGACTTGCCCTGTATTTCATTCTTTTGTCTGCTGCAAATAGAACCAGCCATGGCGTTAACTGAAGACTAGTTTGTGGTAGTTTTGTGCCACATTGTGTCTGTTTTTAATTTTACAGAGCACTATGGCACATTAAAGCCTATCAAGTCTTTATCTGGTATAAAGAATCTAAAGTGGGCTATAGTCCATGAAAGCCTATGGCAAAGAAAACTGCTTAGTTTTAAAGATGCCATAGGACTTTCTTTTTACTGCAACAGACTAACATGGCTACCTATTTTAAATATGATTTTAATTATTGCTCATATCCTAAAACTATCAATATGTACAAAATAAAGGTTTGTAAAAACAGCTAATTCTGATGTGGAGCTGTCATTTATTGCATGCTGTTTGGTATTTATTATCCTTGGTGCCCAGGGGTACATTGGAAAAATGTTTTCCACGCCACACTGATGAATTGCCAGTTTTTATACATTGGCACTTCTGCTTACCACAATGAAATGAAACAGATAAGTGTATATTGTCACATTAGTAACATTATATACAGTTGTATGTGGATAACATCTAGCATTGCCAATTCACCTGAAAAAAAATGTTATGGCAGGCTGGCCCACTTCTGCACTTTGCACAGCAGTTGTGGAAATCATTACTTTTCTTGGCACACAAATATTATGATTTCAGTAGATCACACTTCCGTTAAAGGTTGTTAAAAGACAATAGGCTAAATTGAACATGAACTTTTTTTAAAAAAAAGCCCAGTCCTTCTAAGCCTCATATGTGATTTTGTCTACCTATCTAATGCCTTAAGAGCGAAGTAATGCCATTAAGAATGATTCCACACACAGAAGAATAAGCCTTGCTGAAGACAAGGCATAATAGCTTCTGAAAAGCATGCACCCTGCAAGAATTTTGTAAAATAAGGAGGGATAACAATGCTAAATTTGCTACAGCTCTCTTCTTGACATGTTAAAAAGTGGAGACTTCACCACTACCTTAGCAAATTCAGTGGTGGTGATGACAAGGACCTTAAAAATTGCCAAAGGGAACATGCTACATGTGGATTTATGTTCTCTGTTCTTGGTCTGGATGGAACCAAGCTAGGTGAACTAATCACCCATTTTATTACAATTTCCTATGTTCCATTCTCACAACTGTACAAATTTTTATCAAGGATATTTCTTCTATGGAGTTTGCAATAGCTATGGTTCTAATAATCAGACTTTAGTCAAAGGCTTCTAAATTACCATGTCTGTAATCAAACTGAAATACTACACTAGTGCAGGTCCATTAACATAAATTTAAGCAGCCGTGAACTGCCACATGTGAATAAATCATATAGTGACTTTGTGTCATATGAGTGGTGTGTAACAGCAAATATCTATGCTAACTTCTTAACATGCAGCAATTCACTACTGATATTTATGTTAACAGTGTTACATTGATCGGTGTAACTAAAGGATTCTGACTGTCAGATGCAATTATCACCTAAAACAGAAGACAATGATTTTTAATTTATTAATTTTTGAAAAAGTTTAGTGCTGAGGGCTGTGTTCTGTTAGAGGAAATCTGTTGGGAATTGCTTCCGGGTGCACCTAGACTGTGTCAGGCCAGAATGTCATCCATTCATGTACAGCACAACAATACTTCATCCATCCACCCACCCACCCACCTGTGCATACAATGACTTAACAATATCTTTATGCAATAACAGACAATATATTTATCTTCTCTGGAAATGTAGCTGCTCCACTGAGGCAGACTGGCTTTAGCTGCAAGAAGTGATGGAAATTCCTTCCATCACATGAAGTTACTTTGTTGGCCTTAGCAACAGGGCCCAATTCCTTTATGACTTCTGTTTTGGTGGGGGGGTGAACAGTTTGATGGATGTGGAGAATGGTGGACCCACCACACAGTCATAAAAATTTTGTTTTTAAATGTGTGTACTGACAGCACAGCTATTTAGATGCTTGCTTCTTTTGAGAGTTGATATGAGACTATTCTCAATTAGAAAAAAATTTCTTGTGAAATTAGGCAATTATAGTTTGAGTTTTATTCTCCCCCCCCATAAGGAAATTCAGACCATAGATAAACTGCTCCACTTAGAAGACCTCAATGGACCTTAAGTTTCTTCCTAAAAATACATAACAGGTATATTTCAGTCATAGATTCCTGAATCTTGACAGAAAGAGAGAGTAAAATTTCAGGTTGTGGTGCTGCACTCAGAAAAGCAAGAGTATTCAGATTGCGTATGATTCCCACAAGCAATTTTCAATGTGGACAAATTAATGGTCCCAAATACCAACCAAACTTCCATTCATCTTCATCATCATCACCACCACAGTGAGTTTTTAGCTCATAGGAACGCATTAAACGTGTCTTAATGCATTCCTGTGGGCTTTTTTGTTCCATATAGCAACAAATCCACATAGCGACGATTTTTCCGGAACGGATTATCGTCGCTATGCAGGGCACCACTGTAGATGATAGGTACCACCTCGATGGGAAAGTAAAGGCGTTCCATGTCTAACCACGCTGGCCACATGATCACGGAGGATTGTCTGCGGACAAAAAGTAGCTCTATGGGTTGGAAACGGAAATGAGCACTGCCACCTAGAGTCGGACACAACTGGACAAATTATCAAAAGGAACCTTTACCTTTACCTTACAACCAGCAGCAAACTACCAAGACAAAACAAAGAGTTTACATACAAATAATTAGTTATTCTTGACTTGTCAATAAAAGTCTTTTTGAGGGACAATTTGGATAAGAAGTAAAAGAAAAAGGTAGAACAGTTTGCAGGAGGGAAACTTTAGAACTTACAATATGTTTGCAAGTTGAGTCCCATAAGCAGCCTATGGAACATTCTTTGGCCATATCTATTAGTAAATCCCTCCTCCCATGATCAGAGGAGCCAACCTGTTTGGACAAAGGTGAGAGAAATGTTTTCTATTGCAACTTCTGAAAACTATTTAAAACCAGTGTGAAAGTTAAGTTTTCTACTTTTGTCATATACAGCCACAGAAGTATTTAGGTCTCCATATTAGGTTACCATACTTCTCATCCAGCTGTGGTGAGTAGTAATACTACCTAGCATTCATCAAAATCATTTTTGACAGGTGCGCCGCCCCAGTGAGGTGAGACAAAGGGTCAAGGATTGACCTGGGGCCCTCCTCCTGGGTGGACAGGGCTTTAGGGTGACGTATGGAAGTTAGGCAGCCGTGAGTCCTGCGGAGGGGTGTCATGAGTTCAGTTTAAGAAGATGTGAAATCTGAGGGGTTAATTACAGCTGAGGAAAATGCTGGGCAATTAGAAGCACAGACAACTGAATCACCATCAGATTCTCCTCCCCCAGTAGCCAGGGTGAGGGCTAAGCTTCGGCAAAGACTCATGACACCAAGGGCAGAAGATCACATGAATGCTTCCCATAGGAACATCAGGTCGACCAGCCCTGGGTTTTAGCAGGATGAAGTGTTTAGATGACTGCTGCTGCTATAAAACCTGCACCCAGAGGCTTGGAAGATTGGTAGCAATAAGTCGAACTCTGGCTTGCATCCACGCTCCTGCTTACCTTGGACCTTCTTCTCTGGACCCTTGGCTTTGGACTCTGACTGCTGACTACAGTTTGTGTTTTGGCTTTGGCATTTTGGTATCTGCATTGCATCTTCTGGACTTCTGATATTGGACTGGTATTTTGCACTTTTGCCTGTGAAACCCCCTGGGAATGTGACAAGGGGTTTATAGACACTGGGGTCCCCTGTGACCAGAGCAAGGCCTCAGGACTGGCCTCTGAAGTGATGTGCTGCCCCCCTGGTTAAACACAGAAGTGCCAGACTCACAACTGAGTGGTGGAGTGCTGTTCTCACACTCTTGCCACCCAGCCCTGCCCTGTCCATGTTTACAGTGTGTGAAATCCAGGGAGGCCATGAACTGTCTGTGCATTATAGTAAGCCCTATAAACATTGACATATCCATAGTCTTTTAACACAACAAATATAACGTTCTTTTCTCTTCCTATGCACAACCTTTTCTGGGGCAAATATGCAACTTCACAACAACTTTCCCCAAAGTGAATGGCACGTCTTGGTTCTGATCCATCTTTATTTCAATGGTGATCGTGTTCATGCAGTTCTTACTCATCAATACGTAATGTGGCTTGTCATAGGTGACAGGTGCGCCGCCCCAGTGAGGTGGAACAAAGGGTCAAGGATTGACCTGGGGCCCTCCTCCTGGGTGGACAGGGCTTTAGGGTGACCACATTCGTAGATTTCTCCCCTGACAGAGATACAGCTAACAGAGGTACAGAGTGGTCTCTATGATA